TGCAATTAAGACATCATCAAAATAGGGGCAAACCCCTGGTATACCCCATAGTGTGTTTTCCATTACGCTTTGGAAAATTCCAGGAGCGACATTTACTCCAAATTGTAGCCTCTTCACCTTGAAGGCCCCTCTGTGGGTCACAATGGTCTGCGCTACAGCAGCTGTAGGCAGCTGTTGATATGCCTGAGCTAGGTCAAACTTTGCAAAAACGTGCCCCCCCTTGAGGGAGGCCAGAATATGACTGACCACAGGGACAGGATAGCATGTTGCTGTAATGCCTTATTCAGAGTGCATTTGTAATCAGCACAGATGCGAATGTCCCCATTTGCCTTGAGAGGCGTGACAATGGGGGTTTCCCAGGGACTGGAGTCAACAGGTTCTAGAACTCCTTGCTGAATCAGTTTGTCCAACTCAGTGTCAATTTTACTTTTTAAAGCAAAAGGGACCCTTCTTGCTTTAATTCTAATGGGAGTGACAGTGGGGTCTAGTTTTAATGACACAGGGGGTCCTTTGTATGTGCCCAGCTGGGGGCTGAAGACATCTGCAAATTCTTTGCAGACTTCTTGTAGGTCAAGTGTTTGCAGACTATTGAGCCCTGTGACGTGTATTCCCAAGGCCTCAAACCAATCGAGTCCTATGAGACTCGTTCGTTCACCCCCTACTACTATTAGATCTAGTGGACCTTCAAAATCCTTATACTGTACGTTAAGGGTGGCCTCCCCCTTAACACACACTCTGGAGTTTTGAAAGTCTGTTAACACAATGTCAGAAGGCCTCAGCTTGGCCTGAGTTCCACTACCGGAACAAATCTTCCTAAACGTTTGCATGGAAATGATTGAAAGTGCAGACCCCGTATCCAGTTCCATAGCCAATGGAACCCCTTGTAGCTTCACCTTAAGTGACAGCTTTTTCTTAATGGGCTTGTGTGTGCCTGTCCTATAGATGCTTCTTCGTGAAGCGCAAAACCCCACCCTGTTCTGGCTGGGAACCCTGGTACCTTTCAGGTGCAATTCTTCCTGAGGTTGTACCTTCTGACGGCCCAGGCACACAGCTGCAATATGTCCTTGTTTTCCGCACGCCCTGCAGACAGCGGAGCGGAACTTGCAGTCGGTTCTCTTGTGGCGACCTCCACAACTGATGCACTTGGGGAGAGCTGAAGAGCTTCCTTTTTGTTTCCCTTCCTTTGTGGGGTGGAGACGGTCCACTTCCTCGTCAGGATCCTCCTCGGAGTTCCTTTGGACTTCTTCCTGGTGCACAGACGCAGCATCTGGACTGTTTCTGATCGGCCGCATGTTCTTGATGGCGCCGCCCGCTGCTTCTTCTGCGGTGACCTCTCTCAAGGCATCTTGGAATTACAAGTCCTCCTTGGCAAAAAGTCTCTGTTGTAAGTCTCTATGCCTTAAACCGCATACAAATCTGTCCCTCAGTCGTTCTTTGAGGCCTTTGAACTCGCAATGTTTGGCGGCTTTCCTCAATGCGGCGATGTACTCCTTGGCCGATTCTCCGGGTCGTTGATCCCTCTGCTCGAAGGTGTGGCGCCACGCGATGACGGACATCTTGGGCTGGAAGTGCTCCTTCAGTAGGTTTTTTAGATCTGCGTAGCTGACAGACTCTAGAGGGACAGGTGCTGCAAGGTTCTCAGCGATTTTGAATGCGTCTTGACTGCAAACGCACAGCAGGGTGGCAGCCTTTAAACTCTCTTCCCGTACTTGATTTACCTTGAGGTAGTTTTCCACCCTGGCTACGTAGGACTCCCACCTCTCTGGATGTGAGATGTCGAATTCCGAAAGCCTTCCAATTTTTGCCATTTTGTAGAAAGGAAAGGTCTATCTGCCAGCCTACCCCCGAATGCACGCTGGGTTGGCGGGTAGCTGCCGAGTCGACGCCGTTCCTGCCGCTCAGGACTCACTTGGGTAAGCTTACATCTTTTCGATTGATGTAAGGCATCCCACCTTCGTCGCCAGTGTTGCGTCCTTCGCGAAATGGCAAGACACGAGAAGCAGTTGTAGTTCTCAAGACTTCTTTATTCTTAGTTCAGCTTACAATGGGAAGACGCCAGCAACGCCCAAAACTCATGGCCTCTTATATAGGCCATTCCTGGGTCAATCTGCAACTTTTGGTGCGCCAGCACTTGCGCATACGCACAAGTACTGGCGACAGCCTGTCTGGTCCCGGGCAACTTGCACCTGCCTGGGACCGTTTGCAATGCCCCGAGCCTGCTTGCACAGGCTCAGGACATAACAGTAGGCATGACCTTAAATGGATTCCAGAAGATGGTAGAGGACAGGAAGACCTGGAGGAACATTGTCCATGGGGTCAACTTTGCAACTAAAACAACAACAACAACAACAAGGGGGAAAACCCTCAGGGATCCTTCCCTGGGCATGTCGTCAGTTGGACATCTTTTCACTGGAAGTCAGGGACTTGCCTTTTAATAATGGTCAGGTTTTTTTTTAATATAGTTGATATCTCTTGAAAGGATAAAAAAATTATGTGTTATATATTGTGATTGGGGTCCTTGACAATTAAAGAACTATCTTGTCTGCTAAAATATTGCTAACAGTTGCTTTCCTAAACTAAATTGATATTATAAGATATCATATTTTAGAAATAGCTATATGTAGGAATTGCTATGCATAGATCAAACTGATACAATCACATCAATGACTAGGGAAGATGACAGAATATTGCAGAATGTTGCAGTGTTTTGGTATAATAGGGGATGTAGATATCCTGGTTGGGGGTGAGGGTGGTGAGGTACGAATTCCTACCAGTTGGAAATTACCTGTCCTGCAGATTCAGAAAATCTTTCTTTGTACCTTTTGTCTCTCAAACAGTTAAATGGCTTATCTTCCCAAGCCTGTACAAATACTGTATAATGGCATTGTGGGGACACAAGGAGGTGGCACTAATCATAGACTGGACCAGGATTTTTATGAGAAAAGGTTCTCAGGGAATAACTAGACACAATCATCTCAGATAATTAAAAGCTATTACAAAATTCATGAATGAACAAGGAATTGGTGTTATTTGGGAGCTCATAAAAAGTTAGGTTTCTTCAGCCATCCAAATTTTATTTGAAAAGTCGTATAAACTATTTTTTGCACCTCTGAAGCAAAAATTGATTTATTTAAGAGCTATTAAATCAAGGAACCAAAGCCTTAAATCATTTTTTTCATCTCTTACGTTTTAAATATATATACTGTGGGGAGATTTCAAATCTGTTAGTTTGAGTTTTGGTGTCATCAATGCTTTATCTTGGACTGAATAGGAGATGTAGTAGAAATCTCAACTTTTTCTCTGAAGGGGATGAGGGATTGGATGGGGATAAACAGAATAAGATTAAATCCCAGTAAAAGGCAGTTTCTCCACTTTTTGCTATGAATGGGGTTATACTACCCTAGAAAATCTGTTATTGTCTGCCTGGACTTCTGGATCCTTCTGGAACAGCAGGTGCAAGGGTTGGCTATGGGCATAGTAAGAACAGTGACTCATGCCCTTGGCACCTCTCAGTTAGAGTGCTTTAAGTGGAACTTCTAGAAGATGACTCAGAAGCATCAGCTGGCAGCAGCATGGTCCAGTTTAATAGAATAATACCTTATCTTGAAAAAAAAAATCATTGGCTGCCAATAGGCTTTGAAGCCCTGAATTAAGCTTCTGGAGATTGCTATAAACCTCTGTATAGCATGGGCCTGAATTCTGTTTATATCTTCTAATAGAGAAAAGATGCTTTGGGTCCCCATCCTATAAACAATCAGAGGGGACCCAGAAAATAACACTCTTAGCTGCATTGTCTTTCTAGACTTCAAAGGTCAGTTAATTCCCTACACTTTTAATTTTCTGGAAACAAGTCAGTTTTTGGTAATGATGCTAAGGCTAAGTATTATAGGGGAGGATTTTTTTTCTCACTTTGTTTGAGTTTTTAAAGGCAGGTATAAAAAAATAGAAGGAAGTTTTCCCATTTTCCCACTCTAATCTACGTAAAACATCAATAACAACTCTTAAACAATCTGATACTGAAACAAGAGTCCAAGGGAGGAGGGATTTTCCTGATCACTGGTATTAAAGTGAAACTAGCCAAAGCATTTTGTCACCTTAAACAAAACACACTGGGACCTTCTTCCTAAATAAAACCAAAGTTTGGTACTGTAACAACTGAATCTGACTGAAATCTCTCTTCAATAGAAAAATAGCACAATTGGGCAAGATAAGTGGATGATGGTAATGATGTAACTAACCTATTTAGTAAGATGGTTGACAGGTCATTTTATTCTGTCTAATATTAAGCAGCCATGCTTTTATTTAACCTTGAACTCTCCTGCATTCACTAATCAAATCCCAGAACCCCTAAGAAACAGTATGCACAGACAATCCTCCTTTCTTAATTAGCATTTAAGTCTATACAGTACTAATTGCTTAGTAGAGATAATGCTTTCCTGATACAGATCGAGTATTCTAAATAAAGGAAGAAGCTATCTTTTCTGCACACAAGAGTCTTCAAGTAATTTTACTATAGTGCCTGGGTAGGAATCTGCAGTTCTCCATATGTTGCTGAACAGCAGTTCCCAACAACCAACATATAGGAAGTGGAATAATATCTGAAGGATTTAGGTGTTCACTTCAGCTGAAATAGAAGTATTATTCCTCAACATTTATGATAAAAATCAATCCAGTCATGGAGACAAGAATTAATAATAACTGTATGTGAAAATCTGACCTTACAATACAGATAGATAGATAGATAGATAGATAGATAGATAGATAGATAGATAGATAGATAGAGTAGGTAGATAGATAGACAGACAGATAGAGAGATGACTTTTTTTTGAGAAACCAGCAGTACTAAGTTAAGCAAAATAGGATAAGTTGAGCATAATAAGGTAAGTGTAAAAAGTGGTTTCAGAAATGCAACCTAGATCCAAAATAAGGATATGTGCATGTGTCTTTCGCATCTCATTAACATGCTTTTGTTTATCTTGTTGCTAATCCACCCATCCCAGAAGAGGTATCTGCAAGAATAGTCCAAGTAGTAACTGCTGAAGCTGTGGCAGTTCTGAAAAGTGAACAGGAAAAAGAAGCTCAGCTCAAAGATCAGCCAGCACAATTACCTCTAGGTAAAGCACATGATCTTAGATGTATATTTATGGTTGTTAGAAAACAAAGTGTTGAATTACAACTTTCCCATTTTTTAAAATTTTGTAGTTTATTTTATTTTTAAGACCTGAGAGCTGACTTGCTTGTAACTATTTTGCAGCTTTTTAGGAAAAGTAAAATTATGCTGTGGTCCAATTTTTAATGTTTTTTTTTATATGAATAATACAAACTTCAAATTGAGATGTTTACTCTTTAAGTAATTTTTCAACTTTCCCAGCAATCAAAATAAGGAGGTAAAGGATTAAAAAAAACAAGGGAATATAGTGATTAAAAAGTTAGATTGGAAGTGAGGAAATCTAGGTTCAGGGCCCTGTTTGGTCATATTGCTCATGCAGTTATTTTGGGCCAATATACTGTATCTCATAGGCTTGTGAGGATAAATTTTGGAGTCTCCATATGTGATGCCTTGAGTTCCTAAAAAATGGGATATAAATGTTTCTGTATATAAATAACAAAGGTTGTTCAGTTATACATACCCATGCACGTGCATAAATTGATAGACTGCCAAATTTTAATCAGTTGTCCAAACTTCTGCAAATTTAAAAGAAAAACTGTTCCTGAAAGTTGGGGGCTTGCCATAAATATTAAGAGAAATATAAAGTAGAACAGGAATAAATTAAAATGGGTGTCTGCTTTTAGGAACAAATGCATTGTCTGCAAGCAAAAAGCTGTAATTATATTCAATTCATTTTATGCTGGAACTTAAGCACAGGTTTAAATAGTTTGTTATGCTGCACCAAAAATAAACAGGTCCACATAATAGAATTCTGTCTGTCTGTCTGTCTGTCTCAGGTGCTAACAAGAATAATCATTTATGAACAGATATTATACCTTTATATATAATAGATTCACTTTCCTATGGATTCAGCTTTAATCTGCTTATCTTACCCATTGCTATATACATCACAGATCTATGAATATTGCTAATATTCCTATATTACTGGAACCAGATATAAGACTAAAAAGATGTAATACATTATTTTAAAATCCTGTTTAAAAGTGGTTTATTCTGTAATGATGTAAACTGTCAAATAGGTGCTTATGTTTGCCTGGTTGCTGCCTAGTATTTCAAGAAAAAGTCTAGGGAATGTTACTTATATTTAGCACTGATTTTTGCTCAAGCCACTGTTTTTCTTCTCGGCCACATACAATATGTCATCTACCATCAATAGATGATTAATAGGAGGCTAGCATCATGATTTTTACTAAAATCAAAAATTAGTTGACACTTAAGAAATAAAGATGATGTCAGATAAATTTTGTTTAAATTGTAATGATATATGAAGGTAATAAATCACGGTAGTGGTTTCTCAAATTCACATGTAAATTTTACATGCGATTGGACCCTGCTGTAAAATCTCTCCAAATTTTATAATCAAGTGTTGCTTAATTTTTTTTCTTTTTAGGTTTACAAATCAGACTTTTATTGTCATCTGAGAGCTACAATGTTAATCTTCTAAAGAGCTGGCATGTCAACCGAGCACTTCCATATCCTCTGCCTCTTACAGTATAGCAACATTTATGTATATTTGCACTTGTTTATAAACGCGCAAGTTTTATTGTCCCCTCATTTGAATTGAATGGATGCTTGAGTTGTACAACATTGAAAACTCTTGAGATTCAATTGAACTCATGAGATTCAATTTATTGGATGCAGAGTCAAACAATGGAGTTTGACCCCAATAGTATATTTTGGTTTCAGATTAATTAATAGATGTGTTTTCTTTCCACTGTTCAATCATTAGCAGTTGAAGAGACAGCTAACCTGCCTCCTTCTCCACCCCCATCACCTGCGTCAGAGCAGACTGGAACCCTAGAAGAAGGTAAGAATTTCCTTGGGTTGCATTCACAATGTAGGTGCATTTTTAAGAGGAGAAATCCAGGGACCCTAGTGTGAGAGAAAGAGAGGTAGGAGGAAGATTCTTTAAGTCTTAACTTACAGATTGGGTGTGTGGGGCTTCAGAAAATAACCCAAAGCATATCTCAGTGTAAGTTTATTGTAAATTTGTATGTTCTATATATAGTTGTATACATGCGTCTATATATTTAAGAAATATAAATGAATATGAATTATGTGAGTTTTCTTTTTATCCTGTGAATATTGTAAAACACCATGCTAGCTTTACAAATTTCAAATAGAAAAAAAATTCATTAGATGTATTCATACTGATCTTGATCTTGTGGTGAATAATGTTCTTTAAAATGGTCTGTTCTATGCTATTACTAACCAAATCATTCTTTCAACATCTGAGCCAGGCAAGCTTCATTAAGACAGTATCTAGCCGAAGAGGATGCTAAGGTTATATTTTAGCCAAAAGAATGCTTATGTTTCTAGAATTCTTGACACATGAATTTGAGACTTAAGTAGGTAAAGCTTTTTTCTAGCCCTTTATTATTATATTGCTAAAAATATTTTATAATGAAATTATTCTTTTCCAACTTGTTTCAGATCTGTTTTTTTAAATAGAAAACTTGTCTGGTGTATTAAAACTGAAAAAGTCATTAGATTTTGAAATATTCTACTTGTTCTGAGTTTATATATAAAGAAGAAACATACAGGATTCTGTTTGCTTTATTGTATTTGTACTTATTCTGTGAAGATATGTTTATAAGGACACAGGGGTGTGATAGAGAAAGAAGTTGACAAACTGAATTATCTTCTATTTTTATATTTCATTTGGGATCAACATTTTTTCAAATAATATTGCAACTCTTTTTTTCTTTTGTACATCCATAAGCTAATTGATTCCTGTGTCTAAGTCCATGTGGAGGGCATAAGGAATGGCCGTGAAGCACAAGAGGAAGAGCCACTAGGAAGGCAACAATTGGATAAGAGAGTCTTGAGCTCAGGTCAAGAAATTAGTTTGAATAAATGAGGGGAAGCACAGTCATACTTGCAATATTCAGTTAGTATAACTGTTACAGTAAAAATTATCCCAATCTATATGGCTTTGGTTTCTTAGGCTGGTCTATCTTATCAAGCTGGCAGTCCATTGGAGCTAACCTTGCTTTTATAGGTTTAAAATGTGAGATTATAATGAAACTGTTATTTCCATTTCAGCCTCAAGTTCTCAAATTATGGGCTGCAAACAATATAGGTGGGGACTACAGGATTCTTAAGAACTGATTGTGTTTGTGCAAGCACTAGGGGGAGAACTGTCACAACTTGGTCCATGGATCTGGTTGTCTGTCAAAATCATTCTTAGTTATAGAAGCACTGATTTCTGGCTGGTTTACTGACAGCTAGTGACTTCTGGTAGGTGCGTGGGACTGAAGTCTTTTGAATGTATGTGAACGTGCATATATTAGTAAGGGTCAGTATTTTTATCTATTAATTAACATTTGTAGGCTTTCAAAATGGAAAAGGCTTGTTAAGTGGTAAGAAGAAAACTAAAGATGATTATTTTGCCTATAATGCTGATGAAATTAGCCCCAGAAAATACCGTGATGTTTTTTTTAATAAATATAGGTAAGTGGTAAGTGTTTAGTTGTTAGTAAGTTTGTAATAACTTTTAGTAAGTAGTATACTTAATTATCTAATCCTAAACTCAATGAAATCATTAGTTTTATTCATGAATGAGGTACATAACTACAATTATCATTTTTACAGTATCATAAAGTTTGAGCACTTTTGCTTTAAGCTATTAAAGAGGTTGTAGTCTTAAATTCTGCAATTTAAATATGCAGGAAGGCTGAGAGAACATCTGTAATATTACATACATGAAAAGAAACTGCCTTAGAAATGTTTGAAAATATTTTTAAAAATATGGAACATCCAGGCCAAACTTATAAACATTTGCTACCTTTTGTATTTCCATAAGTGCTATTTTTCTCAGGGGATTGCAAGATAAATCTAGCATAAAACTACCGTATAAACATTTTTCCAACCATTTGAATGATTTTAAAAATATTTCATAACCAATTTTCAAGCACTTAGGGATTGAGTTGTTTTACCTTTTAAAAAATGGACACTTGAAATTAAAGTAATTCAAAGGGAATCATACACTATAGTCACAAACACAAAGATTTTTGATAAGATCAGTTTTCCTTAAGATCAAATTTCCTTAAGATTATTCTGAACTAAAACAATAGAAAAGAAAAAATGGATGCTTGGCAACTGCATGTGTTAAAGCAGCTTCACATGAGGTGCCAGTTGCCTGAAGACATATTATGTTTTATTGTTTCTACAATAATCTTTTTACTCCATACAAGCAATGCTCATTAAAAAAATGCAAGTTGAAATAATCATTACATTTGTTTTAGACTGTATAGGCAAATCTGCATTTCAGAAGGTGAGCTTGGCAATAGAATAGGATAGGATATAATTAACATAATTATATTAAAACCTATTCATGTTTTTAACATGATTTTATTTATATTTATTTTGTGATTTCATCAGTTGTACATTTTAAAATCACATTAATTTGAATAAATATATGTGTCCCATTGAAATTAATATGACTAATTTTGTTTCATTCATATTTCTTTTAACAGAAACTTGTAATTGGATACTTTCATACCTATAGGGATCAATCTATATGTTTGTATTAAAAAAAATATTCTAAGCAATATCATTATTAGTTCTGTGTATAAGGTGGGATGCAAAATTTGAGTTTTGTCATGTCAAACAATGTTTGATGAGGTAAAAAACTGTTGCATTAGGTAATACTTCAATAATATGCAAATATATCTTTAAATATATTGATTCATATTGACACTGATATTGCTAAAATAGAACTATTAATTAATAGACATATTTCTATTATTATTTCATGTTTAAAATAAGGGTGGATTCTGTTGAATGTAGTTTCAGTTATCACTAACTTTTCTTTCCTGCAGCTCCCGAAAATTGTCCAAAAGAGAGCCAAGTGTGCATTGAATATATTAAATATAACCATGTTGGAAAAACACATGTTGCTCAATTAGCTAACATGGAAATTAATGACCTTTTCTCTACTATTATTCCTAAATAATAGTGCACTTAAATTATTATATAATTTCCATTGGCTCAGTTTCTTATGCTAAAATACTAAATTACTCCCTTGGCTCATAGGAAGAGACTTTCTTTCTCTTGACATTTTATACAGCATGCCAAGTTATTGGTCTGTATTCAGACAAAACTTTAACTGTGACCATAACATTGGCTTTGAAAAGAGTAGTAGCTTTTCCACTAATTTAAGTTTGGATAACCCTGGAGCTGATTAATCTCTGGGAGTTTTAAGGCTCTCAAATGCCAAATGTATTTAACTGTAATTTACTCAGTTTTAAAAACTGAAATATTCCTGGGTCACTGTGACTCAGTAGATCAGATTGTTCCTAAGCTTCCAACTAGTAGCTTGAACTAGTTATTTCTGTTTTTAAAAAATCTGTATATTGTAATAGTGAAAATTATGTTTGTAGAAATTAAGTACAAGGTAAGAATATTTGTGAGGAACCACGGAGCTATAATTCAAATATATTTATTCAGATTGTGTTTTAAGATCATACCCATTATCTACCTCAAATTGCAAGAAAGCAGTCTATACATTTGTCATTTCCTTCAATTCTGAATATATATTGAGCCATTTTCTGAAAATTCAAAAAATAAAAAAATCCAGCATGAACACTTTTATTAGTTCTACTAGTACAGGCAGAAGGAAGTCCATTTGAATGGAGCAGCAATTGCTCTTTGGTAGCTGTGCCCAAATTTTAGCCAAGTAGATTAAATTGTAGAGTTTGAATTATGTAAGTGGCTGTTAATGTCCATATAACCTAGGCCTCACAGTAGTAGTGCTAAAAAATAAATTTATTTCCAACAAACAGAAGAAGAAAGCAAGCAATCTTTAACACTTTTGGAAACTTTGGAAAGTGCCAGAGACATTGACACAAAAAAGGTACATGCACACAAGTGAGTACATAAAATGGGTATAGTCATTCAGCTTTCATATGTTCAAAAATAGATCCTCCCCATATCTGTTATCCCTATTCAAATGGGATATTTAAAAATGTTTCTGCTACAAAAACATCTCCCATCTTTAGAACACATTTTAAAATTGTTCCCCTCAAATACAGTTCTTCCTTCTTTAACTTGTATTTAAAAACCAACCTGGCAAATCTATCTCTCTTAAAAGAAATCAACTGAAGGGCTGGAAACTCCAGTGGCTTGTAATATGGTAGCTGTATGGACTTGAGACCCTTGCCTGTCTTTGGTGGAGCAGTGGTTAAAATGCAGTATTGCAGGCTAATTCTGCTGATTGCCAGGAGTTGGATTCTCACCAGCTCAAAGTTGACTCAGCTTTCCATTCTTCCAAGGTTGGTAAAATGAGGACCCAGGTATTGTTGGGGGCAATATACACCACTTAGAGAAGGCTGTAAAGCACTGTGAAGCAGTATAGAAGTCAAATTGCTATTGCTATTGCCTGTCAAAAACAATATAAAAGGTCGCTGAGATCTTGTTGGAATTTTGACCATACTTTTTTTTACATTCCAATTTAAGTCATTACATACAATAGATTACTGATGATCACCAGAACTGCTGTTGTTTGATATGGGATGGATTTCCCCTACTTACTGTCAATTTCTGGTAAAAATGTTCCTCTCCATGTAAGTAAACTAAGATATCATTTGAACAGCTTACATTTGGGTAAAAATAATTCTGTTGCTGAAACTCTGAAGTGGAAGTCTGTCCTATCTGGGTTGCAAAAATCCTAGCACTCTGGATGGCAGCAAAGAAATGTGGAAGACTCTCAATCTGTGTTCCTGTCTAGTGGTCTGCTTTTTGATAACCTTGCCTGATCAATACAGGTAAATGATCCTCAAATCTCCATATTAATTTTATTGTTTA